TGAGTTGAAGTTATAAGGAGTGTTTTGGCTCAGACTGCCTTTTGAATGATACAAGGCAACCAAACAGATACATATATCAGTCTTAAAGGCACAATAACAAGTTATTCAAGTCTCAGGGATAAAGAGATCTTAGAAAATTGTCATGGAAAAATGAATTATGACTGTTTATGGTGCGTAAACACATACAAACATCACATCACATCAATGTAAGATATAGCCCCTTTAAGTATCCACTGCTGGTTATTGCCGTAATTAAGGATATGTTGTAGACAGAAGTCACAGCCACTGGAACCATGCACAACAACGTTTACTAAATGATTATAATGTAATTCATTTAGCAGTATGAACTGATAACATTGACTAAGGCTATAATATCTTTAAAATAGTTTTTGAATGCTCCCTGAATTCAGTGTTTTAGACCTTACACCACTATTATGTCACTTTCCTGTGTTTGCAGACTATGCTGAGCCTGATGTGTCAGCAGGTGGGCAAAAAGTGGGCCTCACTTTCCGACCAGAGCTGGAGGAGGGTTACACCATGCCTTTTGCCCTCAACCACTATGACACCCCGGGTCAGCTGCCCGAGTATGCAGAACCCCTGCCTCCAGAGCCCGAATACGCCACACCCTTCAGTGAGCAATGCCCGGACCCCTCACAGCTGAACGCACAACACACACACTCTCAGCTGTTTCAGGGAGGATCTGGTGCTCAGGGCGAGAGGGCGTCACCAGGGCAGCCAGAGTATGACTGCCCCTCTCACCGTGGCCTCTCTAATGGATACTGCACTCCAGTCTTCAATGGCAGTGGCCCACGCAAGGCTAGTCTGATCTACGCAGAGCCGCAGCCAGTAGAGGCACTGCTGCAGCATACCTACCACGAGCCCCTATGAATTACCACAGCAACCCCTAGGGGACAAATGCAGTCATGCTAAGCCTCTCCTACTGCTGCTTCATACCCCCAGTTTCAGTAATGTTTTTAACATGTCCTTGTCAACTTGGCCTAATTTTTCCTTAATGTCATTTTAAGGGCTATTTCATTACTTTATCAGCTCAAGTGAAGTTGGTTAGATCAGAGGTATTCAACCCCAGTCCTGGAGGCTGGGGTTCAGCAGAGTCTGGTAATTGCCACTCCAAAAAACATCTGCTAAACCTGGCAATTTACAGATGAGTTGAATTAGGTCTGTTTTGAGCAAGGAAATCAGCAAACTATACTGGACAGTGGACCTCCAGGACCAGAGGTGAAGACCCCTGGGTTAGATGACCCCTGCGAAGAGTGATGAATCAGGTCAACATAAATGTACGCTTGGCAGAAATCATTGCAATCTGACATAATTCTTTTTCTAACCTGAAAAATTGTGGTTAAGACCATATAAAATAATTAATACTTTAAGTCTATAAAATTTGATTTACAACATTGAAATCGGGCTTTATACAGCATGCACTCCGTCTGTTATAGATGACTGCTGATGCAACTGTATTTTCACTTTTTATTTTAGTTAGCAAGCTAATTGATACACAGCAACAGCTAAAGAAAAGCAATGCATCATAGATCTCATTCTAAACTTAAAGCTTAGCCATTCACAAAAGTTATGTATGTTACGCTTAGACTTGCACTCAGGCTAATTAGTTCAAGCAGGCTGGCCTAGACAAGAGCAAGCAGGTTTGTGTTAAAAAAACTACCTCCCCCTGTCCAGTATGTATACGAATGGCCACTTGTAGAACATAAGTGCTATGCACTTCTGAGTTGTGGGCCAAAGTTGGCAAGAGCATGTTAAAAATATTGAAACAGAGGACAAGAATATTTAGGACTGTGAATACCTAAAGAGAGAGAAAGAGGTGTAGAGGGAGACAATCAGTGCTATGCACTGTTCCCCCCACTTAAACCCCAATCACCTCATGCACTGCTAATTGAACAGTTGTATGTATTTTCCTTACATGGACTTGTATGAGTCAGTTTTAGGCACTTATATGCATGTCCTTGATTTGGTCTGTTCAGACATGAATTCAGCATGCAAAACCATCTCTGTATGCACAAAGCACATTTAAATCCAAGTGCTAATTCACAATAGTGAATAAGATGGATTGTAAGAGTGAAATATTTACTACTGCCTTTTATTCACTAATGACTGACACTGAAATGAGTCTGTTTTTTATGAAGATAGGAATCTGGGGTTAAGTGACTATTTGGTGGACCACTGACCTTCTGAGTATTTATATGAGTGTGTGTGCATATGGCATATAAATATGCTGAGTTATAAATACATATTTCCTTTTTATTGTTGTAAAATAAAGCTGTAAAGCTTTAGAAAGCAGATTCCAGCTCAGTCTTGTTTTTTTTTTAAATGAATGTGCTCCTCAGATACATCACAAATAAGATATGTACACCAGTGTGCGTGGAGTGAACATGTGCTGTAGAACAGGGACAACTTTTCTGTACCCCTCACAAATCAAATAATACTAACAACTCCTGAACCAGAAGTAGCCCAAAAGTACACTGTATGTACAGAAGTTTGGAGACACTTGCTCGTCTGCTTAAATGCTCTTGAAATCAAGGGTTTTAATAGGGAGTTTGTAGCAGTAACAGCCTCTACTCTTCGGTGAGGGCTTTACTTTAAATGTTGAATTGCTGTAAGGACTCATTAGTGAGGTCAGGTAGTGATGTTGGATGATTAGTTCTGGATCACTAATGTCACCACAGCTCATCCTAAATGTATTAGAAGAAGCTCCTTCACTCCACAGAATGCAGTTCCATTGCTCCACAACCCAGTGCTGGGGGTCTTTATACCCCTCTAACAGACACTTGGCATTAGGTATGGTGATCTTAGGCTTATGTACTTCTGTTCCAGAGCATCCCATCCTATTGTCAATGCTCTTCTATGGAGCTGTGTGTGTGTGCAATTGAACGACTGCATCAGCAGTGGGTACGCTTTAAAGTAACATACTAATTTGAAGATGTGTCTGAATACTTTTGGTCATACAGTGTATCCACAGATTTGGCATACAAAAGTGTTGTGTTTTGTATGTAATTAAGATACATTTCAGATGTGAAGTGAAAAGTCCCCACTGAATTCTGTAGGTTTTATGGGAAATAATCTGCAGAACAAGAAAAGAATTTTCACAGAATGACTTCAGAGAAGATATCTATCTCCACCTGGTGGCTGTTGTAAAGCTAGCGCATTACTAAAACTCAAGGTTATGTGCAGGAGAGTAATTGTATGAATTTGGGTATATGTAGAATAGAGTAGATGTCAGATAATTGCATCTTGGACGAGGGAGAAATTACATTAAAATATTTTTTTTCTACTTTTTTCTACTTTCTTTGCATCACCCTCTCAGGGGTCAGACTGGTGAAATTCTCAGAATGATGTCCAGTATTTACTGTGGGCAGTGTGAGCCTGAACATCATTGTAGAAGGGCTGAAACCCCTGCTTAGTCTCCTCGCTGCTTGTTGATTCAGTTGGGCCAGTTTTCGTAGGCAGTGTTAACCAAGCCAAAACTTGTCCTTATTTGTCCCTCATTTTTTGTTGGCAGACTTTGGAAAGCTATTCTCTTTCAAATAGGCTACTCATGATGAGGAACTTTTAAGTATCACTGAATTATTCCTTGGTTGCTTGGTGAGGGCAATTAAACTTGCAGGACTTCAATGTTATGAATGGTTAAAATCGGCTTCAAACATAGCTGTTCCAAACCTGATATTTAAAAGAGTATAATGCTATATGAACAAACTTTTTTCAAGATTCCAAAATCCAGGATTTTAGGGGCAGGGAATAGGCTACATTTATTATATTTTTCACATGCATGAGATTTTTCTCATGAATATAAAGTTATTAAAGGTGAGCATTTAAAAGAGGGTGAGTAGCCACTGTAAATCTTTCTGAGCTTTTGGCCATAATACTGTCAGTGAGTGAGTGAGAGTTCTCTCTTTCTTTCACCCTCTGGGTAAACAATGAATGTTTTGCTGCTTTACTGCTGCCTACCTCCACTCCTACTGGCTGATGTAAGACATCACATTGACAAGAGCCAGCACAATGTGCCTGTGCCTTTTCTGCACCCATGAGTGTATCAAAGGATTATGAGGATAAGAGTGAACAAAGAGCAACTGTGGGTCTACAACATGCACTCCAGTTTCTGTTGTATAGCTGAAAGTCTGTGAACAGAAGAAAACAATGCAAGACTGAAGCTGTGGAGTTAATTTTATCATGCGCCCCTCCTGTCTGCGTCCTAAGGGAGTGAACTCACCTCCTGTTTGGACTGACTAAATTGAGCACAAATAGATGTGGGAGGTATGAGCATTGTACAAGTATGTTAACTATTGCAAATTGCATTTCTGGAAGAAGAGATGGTCCTGAGTCATCTTACAAGCTGTTAAGCAATGAGCCATGACTGTTAATGGTCAGTCAACAGACGGTATGAGGGATTATTTTAGTTTTTATTTTACACTTCTAGCAAAAAGGGTTCTTTATTCCAGCAGTTCTCAAACTGTTCCCCAGAGCCCCCAGTAATCCACATTTTTCCTCTACCCCTATGTGTTGTTAGTTGGGTTGAAGCAAAACCGTGGACGTTATGGGAGTCCCTGGGGATTGGTTCGAGAAGCACTGCTATAAAGTACTAAAAATGGTAATAACAGACTGGGAAAATAGTGAAATGCTTTTTCGTCTAATACGCATTTTTTAAAATGTTCTTTCAAGGTGCATATACAACATGTTCTCTATCAGGGAGACTATCTTACCTTTCAAAGAATCACTGAAGCATAGCATTCAAAATTTTTTGAGTCTGCATGGTTCTATATATAGGCATTCCCTTGAGGAACCCTTAAGAAATTTCCTTTTTAAGCATGTAGGTTGACATTTTTACACGGTCTGTGAGACACGCTAAAGGCAATGAGCTGGTCTTAACAGGAAATACTGGGCTTGTCCTGATATGAAATTGGTTGGGCCTTCCCTCTGGCACTGTTAAAACTCCCCTGCTCTCTCAAACCACTCCCTGTAACAAGTATGAGCAGGCAAAGATGAAATAGCAGATCAACACAGGTTCCACCCCTTCGACAGTGCAGCTGAGTCTGTTGCACAAACTTGAGCAAGCTCTGAGGAACACCTAAGAACTATGGATTTGGTTCTTTTTCTGTTATGACTAAGGACGTGTGGGACAAAGGCTTGCACTAGAACACCATCATGAAAGACTGCTGTCTTGTAAACTGGCACTGAGTGAGGTGAGGAAGCAGGTGCTGAGTTTATATCTCTGCTGTTTTGAGGCCTGTTCTGGCCTACAGCAGTCATGGACCTGACACTGTGGCAGTACCAGTTTCGCATCATCATGCTGGGCGACTCTACGGTGGGAAAGTCATCCATGCTGAAACGCTACACAGAGGACGAGTTTCTGGAGTGTATCAACCAGACAGTCGGAGTGGACTTCTATGTGTACTTCCTGGAAGTGGAGCCCGGAGTGAGGGTCAAGCTGCAGTTCTGGGACACAGCTGGCCAGGAAAGATTCAGGTACAGCACACTGAGCATATATCTGATGGCCAATATTCAGTTTGTTCAAGGTTTTCTTTTTATCTAAATATTCTCTCTTATGAAGCTCTTCTTATACAGTTTGCACAGTTTTCAGGCTGATATTTAGGATTATTACTTTGAGTAAGAAGACAGCAGAGTTATTTCTCAGACGGGTGTGGAGGAAGAAATGGTTTTAAAGGTCAATCCATACATCATGAATGCGGAAAGGCTGTATATCTACATGCATGCTAGTAGTACAGTAACTACAACTGATCACATTTGCATAACCCTGTGCTAGCAGCTATTCAAATGATCCAAAGTTCAAACTCATGCTCTTCCTTTAGTAGCACAACATAAACATCTATTCAAGCTAGAAATATTTAGGAAATTTTCCAAGGGCCTAATTGTGATGTAAAATTTAAGCATCAGTTTGTAATATGCAATTGAATAAAGTTTTTTTTTTTCAGGAAGTATACCTTTGAACTGTATTGATATTAGTTTCTGAACTGTGCTTTACTCATCAAAGTTTATTTTCTACACAAGAGCTATTAATCCGATTTTGTCTCAAAGTTTAATCCACACTAAAAGAGAAATTTTCAGCAAAGAGCTGCCTGTGAACCTCCCTACCCAAACCATAAAGGTCAGCTGATCAGTGCTGGGATATGAGTTAAGAACATCACCCACACTAATCTGTATCATAAAGGAAAAGGCCCACTAATGTCAAGCAAAAGAGACATTTATTCTTTGATTGAATTCTTGGAAATGCTGAGAAAGCGCATTTCTTGACATGGGCTGAACTCTGGAAAATGTCTAATTCACATCAGACCTACATTTACTTGTAAGTGTACAATTCAAGGGTGCAATTGGCTGAAGTCATACTTGCATTTACGATGCCACAGTAAAAAGCATGTTCTGTCCTGCTAATGGCTCAGACCCAGTGATATTGTCAGGTGCAAGAATGTAAGCAGAATGACACTGGGAAGCAACAGCCTTTATCTGAGCCTACTGCCGATGAAAAAATTGTAAAGGAAAATTCCACTGATTTTTAAACATTTCTCAATAATCGAGTCAAAACTTGCCAAATGATTTTCCGTACAGAGGTGGTGAACCAGGGCTCACAATGTCTACAACACAAATACTATCCAAAATGACTAGAGAACCTTTTTTTTTTTTTACAATTTTTAAATGACGTGAAGGTCTCTTCACACTTGTATTTCTCCATTGCAAATTCTAAAGTTCTTTAGGAAACGAAAAGTTGTTCTTCTATGGCATTCATTTAAAGAATCATTGTGGCACCTCTGTTTTTATGAGTGTCAGTATAATACATTCTTATATAGTTTGAAATTATAAGTGATGTAAGTATATTTAGTCCAGTAGGGTCTAATGTTACAATACATTTGATAATATATATGCAAGGCTAATAATGCTTAGTTAATACAGTGTTATAAGATACGTAACATGAGTGTATTTCTAATATTGTAATACAAAGGTGTCAGCCTCAAGTCCACAGAACTGCAGAATTCTACCCCATTTAACACATCTGATTCAATTCATTAGATAATTAGCAATGCTTGAGTAATATAGACTAATATTGTTGTAAGTACTGTAAGTGTATGTTTATATAATATTACTGTAATATTTCAGAGTAATATTCCACAGTTTTCCCTTCTCAGTGATACATAACCTGAAAAGAAACCAGAAGCTTTTAACCAAAATAAAAAAAACCAAAGCATTCATAGGTCTACCATGTAGATGCCACTGCTAGACCAATAACAGTCTTCAGACTAGACTCCAAGTGCTACGCCAATCACTGTAAGAGAACTGATCCTAGAAAAAAGAAGTATTTTGCAGGAAGTGATTCTGACTGAAATTGACATATTACTTGGTTCAGCAATGATTATATTATATGTGTCTTTATTTTTTAGATAAAACTGAATTATTAATAAACACAAATAACAATAAAATGACAGGATTTCTGTTACTGGATTCTTGTAAGCCAAGGTGATACCTAGATTGCATTAGCCAATCAGACTGCAGAATTCAAATGATCAACCACAGCACAGAATTCAACTAGCCAATTAGACTGCAGCTTCTATTAGCTAACCAAATCACAGAATACACTTAGCCAATCAGACAGCAGGGTTCCATGTAGTGGTTCCCAATCTTGTTCCAGGAGTACCCCTGCCCTGTACATTTTAGTGTTTTCCCTGCTCCCAACACACCTGGTCCAACTACTCAGTTGATTCCTGAGTTGAAGTGGACACTAAAACATGCAGGGCACATTAACAATAGCAAATCATTAGCCAATGAGTTAGCCAATCAGACCACAAAATTCAAATGGTCAATCGGAGCACAGATTTCTATACAATTAACCCCTAAGTGTGTGTGTGTGCATGTGTGTGTGTTTGTGCCAGTCAAAGTAGGCAGTCACCTAGGGCCCCCATGAGCCAAGAGCCCCATGCAAGTACAAATCAGATCTACTCTGTTTATTTTAAATAACATATTCTGAAATATAACCATCTTAAAAATGTTATTATAGTGCTTATTTATGTATTTTATTGTAATTTTATTAAGTGAAATCCTCTCAGTGAATTGGCAGAGAAATTTGCTTGTTTCAAGCATAATTCTTAACTACTAAGTTGCAAAAGTCTAGAAAAAGTTCAAAGGCCCATATCATGGAAAACTACTTTTCTTAATTTTTTTTAAGCAATTAATATAGTATGTAAACATTGTTAAAGATTCAAGCCCTCTGGTCACTCCCTACTAAACTAAACTGCAACAGCCCATTTTGAAGTCACTGTTCCTGTGATGTCATGAAAAATCAGAACATTTACATATTTACACATACCTGCTCATTCAGCCTACTCAAGTTGTGTTACAGCCCAGTTTTTTGTTTTAAAAAAGACAGCCAATCAGAACGTATTTACATCTGTCAGTCTCGGAGACACAGCAACAAAAACAGCCCGTTATTAAAGAGAGGTTGGAAAATGGTCATGTAAAAATTAATAACGACTGTTTTGGTATAACTTCAGCAACAAAAAGAAAAGAAAAACAAAATATAGGACATAGGCCCTTTACATCATTTTACAAACCCGCTACTTTCTCTCTCTCTCTTTGTGTGTGTGTGTGTGTGTGTGTGTGTGTGTGTGTCTCAGGTCTGTGACCCGCTCCTACTACCGGAACTCGGTGGGCGCACTGCTGGTCTTTGACGTTGGGAACCGCACGTCGTTTGAGCGCGTGCAAGAGTGGCACGCTGAGGTGTGCGAGCACGTGCGGCCTCATGCAGTGCTTTTCGTGCTCGTGGGCCACAAGAGCGATCGCGAGGAGGCAGGGGAGCGCGTGGTGAGCCGCGAGGAGGCGGAGAGGCTGGCGGCGCAGCTCGGAGCCCCGTACGTGGAGGCGTCCGCCAAAACAGGCCACAACATCCAGGTCCCGTTCGAGCTGCTGAGCCGCCGCGTGTACCAGGGACTGCAGGCGGGAGAGGTGCAGCTGAGGGAGGGCTGGGACGGAGTGAAGAGCTCAGTTCCACACAACCAGAAGATCACCACCACCAAACTGCAGAACAACGACACCAACACGCAGAGCAAGCGCTGTGACTGCTAGAGGAGCCCCCCTTCAGAGACTCGCACACTGAGCCTGATCTGAGCAGGAGAGCCGTGGGAATGTGGAAAGAACTCAGTCCACTTTCAGTCACAACACTCTGATCTTCTACACGTGCACCAGCAACATCATCCCAAAGCACAGGGCCATCGGCCGAACACTGTTACTGATGTTGTGAACGATTTCTGAGGAGAATTTAAGAGGCAATGTGTGGGTCAGTAATGCCCGCCTCGGGTCACAGGGTCAGAGGAAACTCCGAACAGATGTAAAGTAAAAGAAGACCCATAGTACTTTCTTTTGATGCCCTAGACTTTTAACTTTGATTCACTCTTGATGTTCACTTAGATTGCTGGATTTGTTAGTGGGAGTTTTCCAAAAAGCACACCTATCAACAGTCAGCTTAATGACGCAGTGTTTGTCTGAGAATGGATCAAAGTGCCAATCAAGTCCTGTAGTAGTGAATCACTGGTACTAATTAGCAATAAAAAGAAGCTTTGACTGTTTTTGTTTTTGAAATAAGACAGTTGTCCTGTTGGTGTTCCTTGGTGTCTTCATGCTGTTTTTGATCTCTTCTGGTACAACCTATCCAAAACATCATGCAATGTGGGACGTCTGTCTGAAATGCCCTGCTGATCTAGAAACCTTCCAGACTAAACCAGAAAACTCCAACATGCAGTACTGTAAAATGTGGAAAAAGTAAAAGTGAAGAAATCTCCTCTATGAGTAGGTGTGTCCTAACTTTGCACAGGTAGGCTGCTGTATATACAGTACTGTATAAAAGTCAGAGACCACTCTTTATTTAATTCATTTCCAGTCGAAATGGCCATTAAGTACAAGTTCATCATTTCTCACTGTCTTGAACAAAAGCACAAAACATATTTAACGCTACATTAACAGAAGCCTCAACAAATAGATAATAGGCCTATCAATGTTTTTCAGTGTGTTCACTCTTTGCTTTTTTTGCAGTTCCCATTCTTTTCAGGAGACTTGCATTCAGTTTTTTAAAAAAATCTACAGAGATACCTCCAATAATGCTCAAAACTGTTGAGGTCTGGACTCTGGGATGGTCAGTCCATTATTCTGAGATCACCAGCAGCTTCTTTTTTTTTACTTCTCTTTTTGTTTCTGTTTTCTCTTCTTAGTAACAGCTTCTTGACATCTACACATACTTTCAGGCTCATAGTGTTGAGTTGTCGTCTCACAGTGGAAGGATGGACAGAAACTCCTGTGTTTTTTTTTTCAGATCTGAAGTGAGAGTGGGGCTTGATTTTCTCCTCTCACAAAGATGCAAGCTTAAAGCACTGCTTATCTGATGGGGGCAGTTTTGGTAGTCTATTCGTCTATTCTTGCACAGTTGGTTAGAGTCCCACTTTAAATCTGTCAATCATTTTTAAAACTGTTTTTTTCACGTTTTCTCTTTAACTTTCCCCTTACTTATGGGAGTGGACTCTCTCATGTCTATATTTATCTCATCAGAAATATCAAACTACTTAATTGTCATTTTGACTGGAAATAAATGAAGGGTGGTCTCTGACCTTTGCACAGAACTGTATGTATGGTACCTGTCAAAGGTTTGGACACATTTAGTCATAGAAGGGTTTTCCTCATTTTAGAATAATAGAGAAAACACCAACACTTTGCACATTTGGAATAATGCAGACCCAAAAAAAGTTACACAAATCAAACTCTTCATGAGGAGTCACCTGATTTGCTTTTCTAATAGACCTGAAGATACAAACATTGTTGAAACGTTGCTGAAACCCTTTTTAGGGGGCACCTAAAACATTTGAAATAAATTTTGTACACAGGAATTAACTTCACTAATTACATTTGTTACATTTGTTTTTTACAAAAAATTACTGGCATTTAAGTATAAGCCTTTAGATCAAAATGTCTTTAAGAATATTCATTTCATGCATTTTCAGGTAGGTATGCCCAAATGTTTGGCTGGTAAGAGACATAATTATGCACACAAGGGCTTCACATTGACCAATGAAGATCCTTCACACATTCCAGCTAATTTTGCTTGTTACTTATTAACAATAGAGCATAATCGGGTAGTTTAAACATACTCAATAAATATTTAGATAGTCAAATCTTTTTATTCATGAAAAACACAAGATCTTATAAAGAACAATACTTAGCCAAAGCACATAAGAATTTCCTATAAACCCCATGAAAATGGTTACATTTCTTCCCAACCTCACTGCAGAGCCAAACTATTGACCATTTTTGACAGGTGTGATCAAGTAAGGCTTATGTCAATACTCCAGTAATTCTGTTAAGACTGCAGTACTGATGAGGTTATATCCTACATTAAAACTAAGCGCTACAAAACACACTGCAGTAACACATACCAATCTTTGTGTGTTCATGAGACCATATTTGCCAGTTGGGAATTTTTATCAAGTTAACATCTCGAGTGTATACACTGTTTAGCATGGGTGGAACTCAAAATGACCAAATATTACTCAAGTACTAACAAAAGTACTGTGTATGTGAAAGTCCTCGATGAACCACATGAAACAGCCCCAAAGGAAAGCCTCAGAACAGCTTCACGACACATAGAACTGAAAAGGGGACCAATAAAACATTCATGTGATAGGATCAATGGCGTGTCTACTGTGGAAACCCTTTCTCTTACGTATGTGTGTACATATATGTTTAAATAAAGCATTGCTGCAATTTAGACATCAACATTAAGGCTTGCCCACCAGTTGAGTTCATCAAAAAACAAGTGCATAGTAACATTAGTAACACTGACCTGCACTTGCAAGACATATTATAATAATAATAATAATAATAATAATAATAAAAGCCTATTATCCTTTTGGAACTAAAGACTGGTGAAAGAAAGAAATGCATGTCTCACGCTAACCTCAAATGATCTACCAAAAACTAGCCAGGCATTAAATCACATTTAAGAACAAAACTAACATTGCCAAACATTGTAAACTTGCCTCCAGCCACATGATGTCAAACAGTGACTTAGTTTCAGTGTCTTGCTGAATATTTATTTTGCTGAAACAGAACCACCATGTTGGATTCCTGGAAAATTATTCTACATGCACAATTCAATTACAACTGAATAAATTCTTATATCAAACAACAGCACCTTAATTAGAGATGCATACAGTCATGGAGAGAGTGAATAAGAGTGAAAAATTAATTTCAAAATTCAAAGATGTTGCAGATAAAGTATACTTGAAGGAACCTGACAAAATGTTGACTGCACAATCCTTAGTGTTTTGTGCCACACAAATTGACTAAGCTAACCACATTTCCTGTCAAAATCGCAACCTCTGGAAAAGTGGGACTATGCGTATTTATTAGACAGCAAGGGCAAGCGTAACAGCACGCCCAGTACTATTCACCACTACAGGATATTTACACCATAGATCACAAATTCATCTGTTTCAAAATTCTCCCAAGAAATGATCAAATCAACAGATTCTAAAGGAACGAAATAAGAGGCTGTACTGATAAATATGCAACTATATTTATAATTTATACATATTTTCAAAGCGGCTGCTGTAAAAAGTAAATGCCCACAGTGAGTGATCCGATCTGATCTTCATGTATTTTATGCAACATTTAAGATATTTAATTGCAGCATTTAGGCATAAAATAGCAAAGCCTACATTAACCACAGCAAGCACAAAGCATACTAGTAACAGCATCAAAGCAAAAGTTTAAAAAAAAAAAAATACATATATAGAAGCACCTGTCTGACAAAGGCGCCTCTATCAATTCGATATGGAGGCCTGTAAAACTTTCAAAAGGTCACATGTTCTTCCCATAGCCAAAACCAAAAAAGCAAAAACGAGTGAAAAATTTCTTGGTCTTGTCAATCTTGCTACTTTTTGGTCGTCTTGCGGATCAGTGCCATTCGCTGAAAGGACAAAGACAGTTATTGAGCAAAAATTGACAATTTTCCCTTCAGTATAGGTCTGTGTTCTGTATTTCTGTATTAGTCTAAGAACATGAAGGCTGACCTGTTTGTGCGCTTCTGTGGTACACGCCTTCTTGTACGGTCGGATTTCATCTGATCCAAAGCCAGGGATCCACATGTTCCACTGGCGCTCTGTGGAATTAACACAGTAACACAGTGAAGCACTAAAAGCAAATCTTTAAATGCGTAAACTTCACACAGTCAGAAACGTGTCACAGAATAACACATTAAAGAGCCAACAGTAGTGATCTCAAGACAATACATGAATCATATATAATATAAAATTACTTGGGATACACATACAAGCAGTACTGAGAAACAGAATAATCATTAGAGTACTCTGCATTGTTTGTTTTGAGGACAAACAAAACAAAAAATCAGAACCTGACATCACCAGTCACAACAATAAATGAGTGATAGTTGAACAAGGCACTCACCAAGGTGCAATTGGACGTCCTTTACTTCCAACGTGTTAGACTTCCTGTGCCGGGCGAGCTGGCAGGCAGCGGTCACCACACTTTCTATGAAGTCATCAGCAACCTGCAGCAACATCTGAGAGAACAAACAAATGATTTGGACTGTGTGTTAAACACATGCACCAGATGTTGTAGATTCCTGATATTAAGACTAGCTGGAAATAAAAGGGATTGCCCTTAACATGCAGACGGTACAATAAAAAAAAATGCATAAAACTGTTCATTGTTGGATGCTGATGCAATGATCAATTGTTGCACTTTCTTTGCATCACTGGCTTTACGAGTAGTGGTCTAGCAGTTCAATCAATTTTAATAAACTTGCCTTGTGTGTCTTCATTGGAAAACATGACTAGATATGATGTATTCAATTTGTTTTAGAATTAACCTCTAGACAGTATTGTACAGTACCCATAGAAAGTTTTTCACCATAGTATTCTCTCCCTCACATCTTAGATTTAGAGGTTTTGAAACATCTTACTCAATAACAATTGATACTGTACAAACTAAAATGTACAGTATAAATCCAAAGCCAAACTAGTATATTTTACTACACTTGTTTTAACATTCAGATAGACCTGATAGAACGTTTATATGTCTCCATGATTATCTGTCCTTTGGAATTTTATTTTTCAAACGTTTTCACCCAACAAATACTAGAAAAAATAATTACATAAGAAATAATTCTAAAACTAATGCAGCTAGCATGTATCATAGTCTTCTGTTATGAGTCCAAAATTAGCATCAAGCTATGTAAAAGTGGCAGTAACTTTGTATATTTCATTAAATATAGCTAGAAAATACTCACCTACTTTACTGTAAGCAATCCTTTTTTTGACATACACACTCCTTATATGCCTTTCCTTCTAATTCACACAGTATATTCAAGAAAAATCTTGGATTAAAAATAATATGCTGAAGTACAAGTGTGATTAACTACCTCCTCAACGTCTTCATCAAGCTGCTCGTTGGGGTCAATCTCCCGCACGAGGTCTTGCAGTTTCTTCTTACTGAGAACCTATGAGATAAAATCATACTGCAATTAAATATGTGGCTCAAGCAGATGGGCTACGCATGCTGATTATATATAACCTTATTCCAAAAATGCTGGGACGCTGTGCAATAAAAAAGGATGCAATTCTGTGCAAATCATTTTAAACATATATTTAATTGGAAATAATGCAAAAAATAGCAAATGCTGAAACTGTGAAGTTTTATTGTTTTTCAACATGTTTCAAAAAAGTTGGGACAGGGGCAACAAGACTAGTAAAGTTGTGTAATGTTAAGAAAAACATCTTACAACTAATAGGTTAAGTGGCAACAGATCCGTAACATGATTGGGTATAAATAGAGCATCCCAGAGAGGCTGAGTCTTTCAGAAGTAAAGAGGGAGGGGTTCACCACTCTGTAAAAGACTGCACAGCCAAATAGTGCAACAATTCAAGAATAACATTTCTCAACTTAAAATAGCAAAGAACTAGGAAATTTCATCATCTATGGTCCATAATATCATAATATAAGATTCAGATAATCCGGGGAAATCTCTACCGATCAAAACCAATATTGGCTGGCCATAATCTTCAGGCCCTCATTGCATTAAAAACAGACATTTTTCTGTAGTGGAAATCACTGCATGGGCTCAGAAACACTTCCAAAAACCAATGTCTTTGCACACAGTTCATCACTGCATCCACAAATGCAAGTTAAACTCTACCATGCAAAGAAGAAACCATATATAAACAGGATCCAGAAATACTACCACCTTCTCTGGGCCCAAGCTCATTTAAGATGAACTAAGGCCAAGTGGAAAAGTGTCCTGTGGTCTGACAAATCAACATTTGAAATTCTTTTCAGAAATCATGGACGCTGCAGACTCCAGGCTAAAGAGGAGAATGATCATCTAGCTTGTTTTAGTGCAAAGTTCAAAGCCAGCATCTGTGATGGTATGGGGGTGCATTAGTGCACATGGCATGGGTGACCTGAAGGCATCATTAATGCTAATTGATATATACAGGTTTTGGAGCAACCTATGCTGCCAGCCCAACGACTTCTAGTCTAGACAGCAAGATAATGACAAATTACATTCAGCATGTATTACAACAGCATGGCTCTGTAGTAAAAGAGTTTGGGTGCTAAACTGGCCTACCTGAAGTCCAGCCCTGTCATCCACTGAAAACATTTGGCGCATTATGAAACAAAAAATACAACAAAGGAGACCCTGAGCTGCTGAGCAGCTGAAATCCTATAATCAAGCAGGATGGGAAAACATTTCACTTTCAAAACTACAGCAACTGGTCTCAGTTCCCAAACACTGACAGAATGTTGTTAAATGGAGAGGTGATGCAGCACAGTGATAAACATTCCCCTGTCCCAACGTTTTTGTAATGTGTCACAAGCATCAAAATGGGCATAAATAAAAAAAAATAAATAAATAAAAAAAAAATTCTCAGTTTCAACACTTGGTATGTTGTCTGCACTATTTCAACTAAATATAAGGTTTTAAATATTTGCCCATAATTGCAATCGGTTTTTATTTACATTTTGCACAGCATCTCAACTTTTTGAAAATGGACTTATAGTTAGTTAAAAGGCAATGTTCAAGTAGGAAGATACAGAGCAGGATACACTGATGACTATATTTCCAGTGAAAGACTGGGTCCATTACGGTGGTATACCGAAGAAAACAACAGCTTTTGAGCCGCTCTGATATGTACCAGCTCTGATGTTTTCATACACTATAAAAATGGAAAGAAGAGAGCCTTACCTGTGTTCCCTCTGGACTCAGTCTGCCAGCAGGCCCAGGTGTGCCCAACACCTTTCCCGGGACAGCAGTGCTGTTTGCCATGCTGGTGGTGAGGGGGGGAGTTGAAGAGGCCTCAGCTTTGGCACCAGTGTACAGGTTGGATCTGCTGGTCTGCTGTTGATACTGGTTCATGCCAAGCAACAGAGAGCAGTCATGAGCCTCCTGTAAGGCTGCAGTCACGTGTGTTCAACTGTTTTAAAACATTAATAGGGACGTTCATGTAGATAGGTAGAATGCATAATAATCTAGCTGACAAACTGGAGTAAGACACTTCCAAGTGTATTAACCATCACACATAAGAAATGTGACTAACGTTACACTTCATAGTGCTGTCGGATATACTGACTCACTGAACAGGTAAAAAAAAATACTTCGACAAAGATGTAATGTTACCTACCATTATTTAGCAAGCATAGCCTAGCTAGGTTAATTAACAACTAACTGTACAGCGGTCAGTGTGGCAAAGGAATCAGTACCACCAATAGCTCCCTGAAGCTATTAACTAAACTCTAGTCTGCTTGAGCAACTGGCTAAACAACAGAGCTAACTAAGTCGATTTGTCAAAACGTCAGCTGCCATCAACCTACTGATATCTAGCTAGCTAAATAACATTAACTACCTAGCTAAGCACCGCAGAAAGAAAAACCTGGAAACAGTTTTACTGACTGAAACTTCAGTAATTCAGTAATCCAACCGGATATCTATCTATCAACACATCGGCTGGCTAACATCATTTACTGACTAGTAATGTGCTGTTATAAATGTGAACGTACAGCGCTAGCTTAGCTAAGCTAGCTAACTTACTCTCTCTGAGAGACCGGAGATGCTAGATAAAGTAGCGCTAAGAGGAACAGCTGACTAACGTCTCTGTTAATGTTTATGGTCATTTCATATATATGTGTCATTTCTGCCCCATACAAACCAATTTCTGCACGCAGTTTACATCTACTGGTTTAAATTCAATAGTTGTTTGCATTTATGCTAAATTAAATACGCTAAGCTAGCTAGGTTAGTTATTTTAGTCTATTCAGTGATGGCTAACGCTGTACAAAGCGAGCGCGAACATTTTAAAACTAAAATATAGAGCAGAATCAAATACTTCACCTGACTGTGTTATTTCCTCATCTTACGTATAAACAGATAAGGTCCAACGCAAAATGTTGCTGTTCCAGGCAATTTACAGCCCCTCCATTCGCTAACGCTAGTGAAGACAGCGGCAGGATCTCCGAACCCGTCCACAACGGAAATGCCTGTTTACAACTTAAAAGTCTCTCGTTAAAGGGTGAAGAGCATACTGACTCTAATCTCTCTAACGAACTGGTATTTTGCTTATAACGATATAAATATTGTACATAAAACAATTAGTCAGTAAATAACGTATTTCATAGCTTTATTTCACAACACAAAATCAAACGACAAAGTTGTACCAATAGAAACAAGCAACATAAGGGGGATATCATCAGGATGAATAGTTTTAGTCGTTCATTGTTCAGTCCATTTTTTTCCAATCCAGCATTTTTAAGATGTTTAATTTTTTTTAAATTTACTTTGCGCACATAAAACATCTGCATTTTGAAGAATGCAGGGTCTAGATCACTACCAGATTTCAGCCATCAAGGCTTTTCAACATGCAGCACTTGAGGCTATTGCAGATATTGATATTGTCAGAAAGCACAGGTTGAAAGATGCAGATATGCTTGTTATTTATAGTTGCATCTTGTAAAAGTATAACACAACAAATAAATAATTGGTGAAACAATCCACCGGTACTTTTTTCAACACTTCCAATTTATCGTGGCAATAGAAACATTTTAAATGTTCAAACTAAACAAACTAAACTCTTTTTAAAGACATAATAAGACCTAGCATGATCTGTTGGCTGACCTCATATTCATGGTATTCACCCAGAGATTCTCAGTTTACTTCTACACATATTTATATCACATCCATTTCTTATTTAAATATGTATTTCCATTTCAACACTGTATATAAATAATCATATAAATAGTGCATTTGAGTTCAACAGCAAAGTATAACATTTTGTGTTCTGTTGTAGGGACTGTTTAAAATCTTAAACACTTTTAAAAGGCAACAGTTCTGTTCCTTCCCCTTCAGCTCCAACACAGAGCCCTCTGCAGCACAATCTGAAATACTATGATTCAGCTGAAGTAGCTTTCAGAGGAGGATCACCTCAAATAATGTTATGTCCTCAACAAGAGCAGCTAAAAAATGTGGCTGTGGCCACAACCCTTCTATGACACTGATGGGAATTTGAGTTCAGAGAGTTCAGAGTCTGGAGAGCTACTACCACTGCGGTCACTGTATGTGTCTCTGAGAAGAAAAAAAAACAAAATCTTTCAAAACATAGTTTACACAGCAACACACTAATAAAAACATACTAAAGACATATCTCTGTGACAGCAGGTGACAAAACATATTATAAAGGCAGGATTCAAAAGAATTAAAAGAATTAGGGGCATTTATCAGCTTAACAAACACTGAATCAATTAAAATATGACATGCCAGGGGGTTAAACATTCATAATTACCGTGGTGAAAGTCGGCATCCTTTGAGCAGGTAGCTCTGAAGTTTTCCTGCAGCTGCTAGAAGCAACCCAAAATAGGGGGGTGAAGGCTTTATGGGTCGAGAGGTGAACTCTGGATGGTACTGCACTCCAACAAAATATGCATGATCTGCCAAAACAAAAAGTACATTAAATTAACCTATTCTGGTATCTCTCACAGGTGTTGGTAGTAAAGTACTGCACCTTTACCAACCTTCAAGTTCAATAACTTCCATTCGCTGGCCCTCCGTGTCCTGGCCAACAAAATGGAGTCCTGTTTTTTCAAAGTGGTGTTTCAGTTCAGGATTCACCTGGAAAAATAGAAATGTGTGCAGTTAAGATCCTTTGTAATATTCCACAAACATACAATGGATGTTATTATATATATTTACCTCAAAGCGGTGCCTGTGCCTTTCATCAACATATTCAGCATCTCCATACAATTTCCCTAAAGTACAAAACAAAAAAAAAAATCTTTAATAATTTCTTTAGTAACCTCGTCCCAACACCATTACTCTGCATTAAGCAATTATAAATAAGTGTAATACAACATGTTTCTGTTTTGGTCCTCAAGAAGAATAACTCACTGAGAATGCTTGAGTTGCTTTTGAAGATGGTTCGTCTTTTCCCTAACCTCATAGTGCCACCCATTTGTCCTGGATTATGTTCTGGCATGTCAATCACCTGCATTAACAGAAAAGAGGATTACTACAGCCCATATCCATAATACTGATACCAAGTGCTTTAGCGGTAGTATTGGCTAGGTCTTAACAGTAATTGTAAGGGTGCATTTCAATATATATTTCAACTATTAATATATATAAACAGAATGATACTTACTACAGGGTGCTTTGTTTCAGGATCAAACTCAGTAGAGTTGGCATCTGAGCAATGAGACAATATTAACATGAGCATTACAACTGATTTTCATTTGACATACTAATGAGGAGGTTCTTAGTCTCATTACCTTGCCAGCCAAGCACGTTGCGGGCAAATTCACATACAGCGAGCTGCATGCCCAGACAAACACCTGCAAACCACAACACTTTAATTTATCTTGGATTATACGTTGATAATTATAGGGCAGCCCATGACAATATTTAGACTAAATAATCAGCAGAAATACAGAAGAATCAGAACAACAGAGATTTATCTTGTGGTTATTCATAAATTACTATTGCTATGCTGTTAATATCCTACGGATCTTACGACTCTTTTACCTAGAAAGGGCTTTTTCTGCTTCCTTGCCCAGTTAATAGCCTGAATTTTTCCCTCGGTGCCCCGTACACCAAAGCCTCCAGGTACCAAAACACCACTGAACATAAATAAACAGACAAAAAAGAAATTCACATATTTAAAAATTCACATGATTCTAAGTGCACAATTTAAAAAAGCAGTGTGGTAGATATTGCATATAAAGAACTACTTCTCCATTCTTACTCTTACTTCGGTACTTTTCCAACTACTCAGTGTGGTACCCGAAATTAATACATGAAACTGCTACAGTGTGCTCTAAGCACTTTACAGGTCCTAGTGCTGACTGTGAGACCGTAGGCTAAGCCACTCACTCAGCGCTGCAGAGTTTCTGCCAGGCTTCATGGTACTTCACTGGCTCTTCCTGTTGTGTGCTCTGCTCCAGGTCTGCAGAGTCTATGTACTGAAACAGAGGGCCATTTCTGAATGTACTGATACCAAAAAGGTAGTTCAATGAACAAAAAATAAGTAAACGTGTAAGTATTCTCATTTACACACAGGGCAGCCAGACTGATCCAAAAACATATTCATGATAATAGAAAATATTTTAACAATTTTAACATCATGAAGTCATTAATCAAGGACACTCCTTACTTTAACCTCTAACTTGTGGTTGATTGCAAGGGCTGAATGTTCTAGAGCTTTAATGACTGAGGCATATGAGTCTGAAAACTTGGTGTACTTTCCCACCAGTGCAATCGAGGTGTGCTCCAAAAGCCGGTCAGACCTGTCAAAAACATATCAGTCACACTAAATGGCGAACTGTTCTTTCCACACTGACAGAGTACTGTCTCAGTACTGCTTAATGGCTTTGGAGCATAAGGAAATTCTCACCTATCTGACATTTCTTTCCACTTGGTGAGCATTCTACGGGGCCTCATCTCAATGGGTAGGTCCAATCTTCTGCAAAAGTATTCCACCATGCCTTGATCCTCCAAGAGCAATGGAACTCTATAGATTGAGGACACATCATGTATGCAGATCACCTAAAAAGGAGATAAAGTATAGGATATGAACAAGACACTTTCCCTCAGTTGTTTGTGGACTTTTAATGTTCTAGGTCCAATTTCTCTTAGCTAGCCTCACTCACCTTTAAGATTACAATAAAAATATACAAACTGATCTCCAATCAGCACGAGTCAGCAATTTCTACCTCACTTTTCTATTATAGCTCAAAAATAATCCATGCACAGATACCTGCTCTGGCTCCACATGACAAAACATGGAGATCTTCTCTTTCACTGCAGTGTCCAGAGGTGTGGAACAACGACAAACAATCTAAATAAAAAGAAGAAATATCTGATGGTTTTGCAAAGAATATTGGGGGCCGTTATGAGCCCAGGTCAAAAATATAGTGCAGTTGATAGGTAAAATGATTTGGTGTTTGGCTCCATACTCTAGCACAGCTGTGTCCAGTCTGATCCGCAAAAGGTTTTCATTTCAATAAAGCAGGAGCACACATGATCAGTTTTTTGAAGGCTAACTGATTGATTAAGCATGTACAGTCAAGTGTGCTGTACATGTTTGGAATGAAAATCTGTACCCCTTTGTGGATAATACTGGACATCCCTGCTCTAGAATGTTTTGTAATGAAAAAATGACCATGAATTTTCCAGAATTAATCACAAGATGCAAACCACTAGTAAATCCAAGACCAGAATGGCCATAAATTAAAAGGAGAGTTCTAAGATTAAGTGTTACAGACTGATGAGACAAATGAGCTAAATCTGGATAGAGTGAGGAAATGAGAAAAAGGGGGAAAATACAACAGAATTCATTCTATTGTATACAATACATTTCATTCTACTGTATAAATTGTAAAACCTTAATTTTGATCTAGAGTAGAAATGTGGAAAGCTGTGTTTTCCTGTTATGTCACTTTCCATGATTTCAAATAGCTTATTTAATTTGTTGATTTGGCTCAGATAATCCCTGGGGCCTCTACATTAAAAACCTATATAACAACCTATTGGTTTGTGAAATATGTGAATGCATGTTTTGGTTTGGTGGAACGGTTGGTGGTTTTCTATGTTGGGGTTCATCACCCCACTGAGATAACAGACAAAGAAAGGCCATCTGACTGACCAGATCTGGAGACAGGCCCAGCCCACGAAGCTCACGCACACTGTTCTGTGTGGGTTTAGTCTTCTGCTCTCCTGTAGTGCTGGGCTGACAACACAGTCGGAAATAATCAGGACAAGATAATCCTACCTTATCATCAAACTAAATCCAGGCTGACTCTTTTATCACAACTATAAACATCAGAGCTCAATGGCTATGAGTGTAAACACTGAATAAGATGACAAATGTGGATAACTGAAACGGGATTTATTTTCTGTCCTACCTGAGGAACAAGGCTAACATGGATGTTGCAGAAGTTCTCTCGTTTCACCTTGAACTGAAACTGTCTGAAGGCTTCAATGAAAGGCATACTCTCAATGTCTCCAACTGTACCCCCAAGCTGTGACAAACAAAAATATCTTGAAGATAAAATACAGACACTATTTCAATATCAATAACAAACAAACCTAACGAACTCAGCTGAGTCGTACTTCAATGACACAGACTTGCGGCTCAACACCATCATCATCCACTGAGACTTTTGCCTGACGCATCACCCATTCCTGAATGGCATCAGTGATGTGTGGCACCACTGTAAGAAACAAGTCAAGCACTATAATAAACCAGCACTTTTACAACAATTGCTGCTCACATTTGTTTTTTTACACGGACATAAAGGTACTGTGAAATACTGTGTGAAATACTGTTTGATTGACCTTCGGCAGAGAAACACAACCAGACAACCCAAATTGAAGTCATTACAAGTCAAGAAAACGTAAACAAATGGGATAGAAAAGAAAAACAGCTGCTCTAAAGTGTTTAGACTGTCAAACTAAATTCAACATCCAACATCTCGTACTTGAAGGAAATAATAATTAAGTCCAGCTGATGCACAGAGTTTCAATTTCACAGACCTAAAATTACCTCTTATTTACAAAACAAAGACTCACCTTGCACGGTTTTGCCAAGATAATCTCCTCTCCTCTCCTTAGTTATAACAGACTGATAGATTTTCCCAGTAGTCAGGTTGTTGTCTTTGGTTAGTCGGATGTCCAGAAAGCGTTCATAGTTCCCCAAATCCAAGTCAACTTCACCACCATCATCCAGTACAAATACTTCACCTGTAAGATCATGCTTTCGTCAGTATGAGTGACACTAAGGCCAGTAACCCCTACAAAACACCAGCAGTCAGGTAGTGTATTTGTCCGAACACTCACCATGCTCATAAGGAGAGAAGGTGCCAGCATCAATATTAATGTAAGGATCGATCTTGATTGCAGTGACGTGAAGGCCACAGGATTTAAGTATTGTTCCCACACTGCTGGCAATGATGCCTTTACCAATTCCAGATATGACTCCACCTGTGACCAGGATGTACTTCATTTTTGGTCAAAAACCTGGACATAAAAAAATGGGTTAATTCCACCATGCACTGTGGATTTCAAGATCTCCAATGGGTCACAGTGGCGCTAGACAACATAACAATGAACATTTTTACTTATTGAAAAAGGTGCATAATGAGTAAAACTATTAAAACTTACATAACTAAACAAAGTAAGTAAAAAAATTATATTTTCAACATTTCTTATTTTAAACTTCATTATGAACGTGTTATTTTACGGAGTTAACGTTACGTTACTGAAATACGCCCTCAAATATTCTGCAAGTGTAGACAACAACAACAAATTACTTTCTTCATCTTACCTGAAGAAATATCTCAAGCAGGATAGTCTTTCAAATTTATTTATTCATTTACATAAATGTATTCTTTTTCTTAAAGTTATGAGTTTACTTGTAACCTGTGGAGGTTGCGGTATTGTTGTTGTGCAGTGTGGAGCAGCTAACCATAGGCGGCGGGGAACTAAATGATAGCTAGCTGTTAGCTAGGCAGCTAACGAAAGCTAACGAAGCAGTCAAACCAGCAAACCACAAAAATAACCACGAAGACATGAGCGACTACAGACAGCCGGACTGCGGGCTGACATAGCAGGTTAGGAACTAACTTAGCAGATGAGGTGACAACTTAGCAAATTAACAAAACATGTCAAATATCACATTTCAGACATGTCAGTAACGTCAGCTAAAACTGTGCCGTCCATCCTTTGCATGATTTCTCCGTTAACAGATAGACTGCCCGTTAGCTGGACCGAAAACAGAGCGATGTTAAACACCGTTACCTTTTTGCAACATTACATAACACTGCAGCGCTTCAGAAATCTGATGTATAGAGCAAAACAGCAGACACCCCAACCAGGGTCTCTCAGGGTCTGTCCTTACCTATTACACCAGCTGTAATATAACGATCAGTGTGCCGTTAAATCAAAAAGCTCCCCTGTTCTCTGATTCAGCAGAGACTCATCGCTGTCGGTGTTGTTTTCGCTGTGAAGTCTGTCAGAAAGCTTGTTCACGACACGTGCTGTGTAACCGCAGGACAGCCGACTGTACACACTATCTGATCTCCATCGAACATCACGACCCGGCTAAGTCTGCTAAGACCTGTCTGCGGTGTTAACAAATCAGCGTTAAAGTGTCGGCCTGTTCCCTGTCAGCGTCCTGCCTTTGACGTCGTCTTTGCCACAGAAGTGGACGTTACAGGGACACTCCACCCAAATGAAAAATGTAACCATCGAGAGAATGGATTATTCAACAGACAGAAATGACAGACAGCAACAAGCTAAAAGCTAAATTTAGTAAAATAGCTGTTACCCTATTTGGTGACATATATTGAGCGCCAGTTTTTTAATGCCCCTTTAAACTCTAAAATGCAACCGTAGTTGGAGTTAGATGTTTTGCCTTATACATTTCAAAAATACTATGCGTGAAATGAAAAAATAAATAAAATAACAATGTGTGTGTTTCATCAAAAAAAACAAACAAACAAACAAACAAAAACCTGACAGTGATTACAGTGACATTTGCAGTGTAATCACATATGTAAATACACAGGCCTGCTCACTAGATGGCGCCTTCAGACTTAAGGCATAATTGGGAATGCTCTGTAGTGTACGTGTAATTTAGCCTGCAGTTTGTTTGTTTGTGTTTTTCCACAAATAGCTTCAGTTGCTTCAGAAGTCTTCAGCTTACAAAGTCCTGCAGACAAATGGTAGAATGGTTTCTTACAAAAAAATCATTCTTACCTCACTGCAAAGGCCAAGCAGACTGCAAGATTTAAGCATGTGTATACAAAACTAAACAAAGTTACCAAAAAAGCTTGTTGCAGGAGTTATGTAACATTTCAGACAGGGATGGAGTTGGTTCTCCAGCAGCAGCTGGCTTTAAGACTATCTGTCTAATTATAGCATCTCCTCAGACTTAGCCTGGTGGCTCCTGAATAAGGTTTGCATTGCACAGGAATTATATAACTGCCAGGAGATAATGATTATAAACACAAGACTGCTTTAAAGTCAGCTCTGTAATGTAGGTAATATGCCTCCTGAATGGTGCTGATGCATGCTATTGCAGTGTTACACAACAAAATCCCCAGTGTTGAATTATCACATACAGAAGCTCCTACAGTGCTCATTTAAGTTCAGATGGACATAAATGAGCAGTGCAAAAGTAAATATAATGCTGGGGATTTTGCACTGGCTTTTAAATGATGTGTTCAGTTCCACTGTTCAGAGTTAGGCTACTCTGAATACACTGTACAGAAATGAGTAGACTACATGAACTCTCAGTAGATAGGTCAGCTTAACCCCTTAAAGTTTCTGGTTTGTTACATACTAAGACTTATTATTCAGTAACTACAGGGACTTCAATGCGAACTGGCTGAGTTATTCTTAGGTTATAGAAGTGTGTAATAAAACTTTGGACCTGACGGTGGGTCCTGGCTATTTAAGGGGTTTAAAATGAGGACGATAAACACCACCATGCTCTGCTTTTTGCAAGGCGTGAGTGATCAGAAAACTTCTGTGTCATGGAACAGTCTGATGGGAAAAAAGTACAATTACATGCAGACCAGTCACTTTTACTGGCATGATCTAAAGTTAGTGAAATATTCACTGTAGAAGGGCTGTGTGCTCAGACACCACCCACAACATCCTCTTCCCAGCCAGCCATAGCCACAGCTCACTAGGAAAACAATGTGGCAGTGGGAGGGTGTAGTCCACTGTGTGTCCGTGCACAACCAGCATCCTCCCTGTGCCTGGATAAGCCTAATTTGATTATGGGGGCGGGTAACGAGAAAGAGAGAGAGAGTGTGTGTGAGAGAGAGAGAGAGAGAGAGAGAGAGAGAGAGAAAGAGAGAGAGAGAGGGCGAGACAGAGAGAGAGAGAGAGAAAGAGAAAGAGAGAGAGACCATGTCCTTACTGGCTCATGCTAACCTCATAAGCTTAATATCTACTTTAGTATTAATAGCAATATTTATTGATCAGCCAATATAATGTTGTTTTCTGTTTCCTCTGCTGTTTTGCTGTGGCTTTAATCATCACAAGAATGTACTCATTTTTTGCTGACATCGACACCCCTCCATGAAGACTGTATGGCTGGGGAGGGTCTACAATTAGCAGGGATTGTGTAATTAAATGAAAACGTGTGTGTTTTGGTTTGTGCTGTGTTCTGCACCCCCACAAAACACTTCATTCATTGTAATAAGGAACAAAGCTGGGCCTTCCATGCAGAAGCAGAAGGCCTCACTGTAAGTGTATGTTATCTACAGGGGACTCATGCTGGTTTATGATTGCTGTGAGACTGTTCATAAGACAGTTATGAAGTGAGTTTTGAGAAACAAAATCCTATTACAGGGTATACACTCCCAAAATAAAGGTTCTAATGGTTCCAGGCTCAGACACATGATTCAAGGAGAAACCTTTACTTAGTATGAAACAAAGGTGCCCAAACCTTTTGACTTTAGGGGGCCAAGGTACAATGTTTGTGGTGAACCGAGGACCAAAAAGACAAAACAATATAGAAATAAAGAAGGTAGGTATGTTTTAAATCAAATTTTTAAAAATTATTTTATTACATTACATTATACAGGGGTTCACGTTTGGTCTGACAATTGAGAGGGACCAATGTGAGGGGCCTAAAGCCTATATGTAGCAATTAAAATATAAAGCTGTGTAAACAAAGTATGCCTTCAAATATACTTATCATATTGATATATTATGCCTTATATCTCAATATTAAACACAAAACAAATTATATAAACAACAGTAATAATAATATTATACATATTCAGTATAGAGATTCAGTTTTGTTACCTTTCACAATGCCATTTTTTTTCTTTCCATTGTGTCACTAAAAGTCTTAGTCTTATCTACATATTGCTATGTATATTTTAGCAAAATACCCCAATAATAATAAAAAAGGCAATTCAGACAAAAGGAAGCACTTTTAATAACTCAACAATCAACAACAATAACAAACATTTAAAGTACAATAAAGGCGTGTTGAAAATGCTTCCAGGACAGGTTAGCGCTTATTTCTTTTCATAGTTACTGACCATAACTGAACAAATTAGCAATATAATTAGAGTTTAATTGTTAAGCAGTATTTGACAACTATATTGATATCTGACAGCTTTTTTGCAACTCAGCTATGTGTTTTTTTGATAACCATTTCATGATCACTCCCCCCAAAAAAAAAGAATTCCCCACCTGGAATGTGCACCAGTGACATTGTATTGCCAAAATGCATAAAAATACCATTTTACAGAGGATTTAAGAATTGAATAAGATATATATGGCATAAAAATATATTAATTCTCCTCTCGTTGGGTGAGGGGGTGGGGTGAGGGTAAGATTCTGGAGGATGAAGTCAAATGTCCTCTTCTTCTTTGTGCTCACACATCTCATTTACAAAAATGGTTCTGTAAACAATCCTCAGATGAAAAGGAAGATCTGTGTTATTGTTCCAAAAAACGCTTTTGGCATTTTTATTATTAGTAAGTTAGGTTTTTAGGTTGTTTGCAGACCAGTATAAATGTGAAATCAGTTTGAAACCCAGTGGGTATTCCAGCAGTCATCGTGTCCCTCGTGGTCTGGCCCTAATAAGAACCTTTGAGACCTTGTTTGTTCTTTGTTTTATGAAGCTCACATATGAAGCTCAGAATTGAGGGGAATATAGCTCTACCATGTGATATGAGCCAGAGAACCTATAAAATACATACCATGATCAAGTCAGATGTCTAACTAGTGCACAACAGGCTCTTTGTCACTAATGGCGTTATTTAATCACTATGTTGCACTCTTTGAACAAACAGTACGATCCCTTCTAGGGCAATGGACACCAAGACACAGTTAGCCTAAGGATATCCTGGCTGTTTCGCAACTCATTTCCATCTCTACCAACAGCAAACTGACAGTTCAACTGCAGTCTCAACTTTGTCTTATGAATCAATGGGGGGGCAGTGTGTTTGATAAAGTCAGCATGATTCAGAGAGGAATTTTCCTCCCATACTGTGCTGGGGAAAGTCTCTGAGCTAGCTAAGCATTTTTCTTAGAGATGGGGGGGTTGAGTGGGAGGTGAAAGATGATATTGTTGATTAATATTATATACCCGCTGAAGCACGGTGACATAATCAGAAATCTTTTGCATTTTAGAGGTGGGCAGAAGTCATTACAGTAGCACAGGGTTGGTCTGGCACAGTTTTCAGTTTCTGCTGTACATCCCAGCCATACCATATATCAGGATAACTCAACTAGCAGCAAGAAGTGTCTTTACCCTCTTCGTGTTATGTCATGTTATGTGACCTATCCCTCACTTCCCTCATGGTATGGTTCTCCTCTCTGCCTGCTGGTTCAATAAAGAGCGTTCCTGAAGAGAAAAGTCAGAGTCAGAGTCTGGGTCTTCTTCTGCACAGATGCTACAATACCCTTCGTAAAATATTACTCCAGCAAAATTAGTCTTCTTTTCTATTTAGTATTTAAAAATTGATATTTAATGCATAAACAGTTTGGATCCAAAGTTATAACTGTTTTCATCTTTAGGCATCCTCACTAATCAACATCCTCCAGGAGAGGCCACAAACCTTGGTCCTAAAGATCGACCCTCCTGTGGAGTCTAGATCCAGTCCCAGTCTGCCACATCTGCTCCAGCTAAATAACTTCTTCAGAAGTTGATTGGCTGGGTCAGACTTATTAGTGGTAAGGGGGGGCAGAATGTTAGATGCAGGTTAAAGATAACTCTGCAGGAATGTTGCTCCCCAGGAGGAGGGGTGGTGACCACTGGCCTACAGCTTAGAGTTAAGAACAACTTCTTATACATTTAATGTAAATGTAATATAAACAGTGATATAGTACAGTACTACCTGTGCTGTCTAGTACATGTATAATATTCAATAATAAATATGTGACAGTAGCCCTACACCTCAGTAGGCTGACACATGAGCCAATCAACCCCACCCACATCATGACACAACTATGCATTTCATTTTAGCTAGCAAGCGTTACTCATCCTTGGCCTTCAAACCATACATCAAATACAACTGATTGCCATTTCTAATATTTTCAAAGTCTCTCTTTAGAACATTTCTATAATGTACTTACTCAGGGAGACATTTTTATTTTAACACAGACAAATAAACAAAAGTTATTCTCACCCTGACTGATAGTAACATTCAGAGATTTTGACAAAATTGATCAATATTGGTCAAGAGGGCAATCATTTTTATCTTACA